CCACCCGGGACCTCCCAGAGCTGCTCTGCCCCACGTTTCGAGCTGTCCTGCCCCAGATTTGGGTTGCTATTCCCTGTGTTTTGGCTGTTCTGCCCCAGGTTTTTGGCTGTTCTGCCCCAGGTTTTGGGGCCGCTCTGCCCCAGGTTTTCTGAATTTCAAGTTCAACGGCAAAGGGAGGGGGGCCGGGAGCCTTCACCTGGCCCGGCGCCCCCCCGCAGCGTCTCTTTCCCCGCGTTTTACGAGGATGTCGGGCCTTTCTCGCCCTTTGCTGAGGCCGCCGTGTAAAGGTTTTACAGCTCGGCCCGAGACTCTCCTCCTCCCCTTCCCAGCCCCATTTTCCGCCTGGGATTCGGGGCTGGAGCTGAGGACAGGGATTGGGGTCGGGAGGGGGCACGGCTCCCAGTTTCAGCCCAGTTTCCTACTGGGGAAATGGGGGGGGGTGTGTGTTATAACAGAGCTGGCGGTGTCTGGGGGTTTCCAGCCCTTCCAGAGCGGGTTTGGGGGCATCGGGGAAAAATCCCTAGACGGGAAAGAGAAAAAGAAGAAAAAAAAAAAAAAAAAAAAAAAAGGATGGGAAGAAGAAGCATCTCACTAAAAGGATTAACCCTTAACGTGCCGTAGGCGGGAGCTCTAAGAGGAGCATCCCTTTCCAAACCTGGAAACACACCGGGTTTATTTTGAAGTGAAGCTCAAATACGGGCCAGATTTGTTTTATTTTCTTGGATTATTTGGGTTTTTTTGGGGGAGACGGGACATCCGAGGGGATTCCTCCTGTCGGGCTACTGCTCTCCAGCCCCTACAGACACCCAGAAATCAGGGCGAGAATGTTCATTATTGGTAACAAAGGGGAAAGGAAAAGCAGATTTTGGGCTTTGCATCCACGGGGGAAGGCGGAGAAATATTCCCAGCCGGGAGGAGCGGCGGGTCCGGCCGGTGCCGCCGGGACTCGGGGTCAGGATCCTCCCTCCGGGCCAGAAATTAAGAAAAATAACCCCCAATTAGGGTCAAACCCGGGTAATTGAGAGCAGGATCCGGATGGGGCAGAGCAAAGCGGCCCCGGTCCCTGCGCGGGGCTGCGGCCGGGGGAGCGGTATAGGCGAGCGCGGGGACCTATAGGCGAGCGCGGGGACCTATAGGCGAGCGTTATAGGTGAGCGCAGGGACCTATAGGCGGCGCTGGGTCCGCACACGCGGTTTTCTACGCGTTCCTGCGCTCACACTGTCCGTATCGGCCCTTCGCCTCCTTTTTTCGGGTTTTTTTTTTGGGGGGGACCGGGACGGGGACGGAGCCGCGCGGGGCGGGATTTACTGCGTCTGCCCCACGCCCACCCCCGCTTACGTCACCGCTCGGAACGCTCAGCCCGAGCCCCATTGGCTGTCCCCCTCCCGGGGATTCTGACGTCACGCGTAACGTCACGGGCGAGTGCCGCCCGGCGGGCGGGGTAAGGCTGCGCCCGGGGGGGTCCCCGGCACCTCCTGCAGAGCGCGGGGAGAAAGAATTTGGGGAAAACGGGGAAAAAATAAAGCAGGGGGAGCGCACCCGGAACGCGCTGGAGCCACAACCCGGCCCGGCCTCCAATGGTGAATGAGTATAAAGTTATTAAACAAGAACAAAATCGCTATTAAAAATGTTCACGCTGTGGTTTACTTCTTCAGATTTATAAAAGAAAGGAAAGGCAGAAATAAGAGGCAAATTTTTGGTGGTAGTAACTGTGTTTTGGAGTTTATTCACCCTTTGAGAGGCTTTTGGGGGGGGTTACAGCCGGGTTTAAACGCGACGCTGCTGCGGGGACTCCGCGCCCCGCCGCGCTGCTGCCGCGGAGCACCCAGGTATTAAACAAAGAAATTGTGTCCCCGGAGTTCGCTCTTCCCCAGAGCTGTAAAGAACCCGAAAAGAAGAGAGAAAAGCGCTGGTGGGAGTATATTTACTTTCACCCTATTTATTCTGCTGAAAAGGATGAGGACGATTCTTAATATTAACCAAGAGCATTGAGTATCAATTAGGATTATCTCAGCACATGCTACGGAACGTACTGCTAGAATTCTGTATTAGTAGGAGAAGGAAAAATGCGTGTGCAAATACACGTCTATCAGCACAAACGAAAGCGCGTACGGAATTATACGAGTTGCATTTACCTGTATCAAAATATAGGCACGAACATACATATAAGTATGTTTAGATGTTCGGATACAAACGCGTGTATATACACCTTTAGCTGAGTATATATTTATATCCACACATCCAGGACTATACTGCGTACGTCGGGGTATATAGAAACACACGAACACAAACATGGTATATGACAAAAGGTAAAATAACGCTTACTGCTAAATATGTGCGTGTGCATACATGTATGTATATTTTTTTATATATAACCACGCAAAAAAACCAAAAACAAAAAAAAAAAACCAAGCCCGTAGCGCGTGTCTTCATAAATGTGTGTCTACGGGTACACTATATATATGTATATATGTATAATATATACATATATATGCCATACGGGACATATACATAGATATGTCACACGCATATACTGTACATTTACGCAAACCCGCGCCTTAACGCAAACAATTCACGTGTGTTTCTACACAACACACTTGCACTATATTTACTCGCCCTTATTTTGATACTTTTGCCTGAATTTAGGAGATATTTATATTTTTTCCCTGCCATGAGTACGGCTTTTTTGTTTGTAAAGACCAAATTCCCTGTGAAACCCCCCCCCTCCCCGGGACATCCCAGCTCCGGCCGCACGCAGGCGAGCCGGGAGTTGCGTATTGGGGTTAATTAATGCAATTAGGCCAATTTTTTCTCGTTGTTATTATTATTTTTTTTTTTTTAAGCGCTCTGAGGATGCGGTTCAACCCGACGCGGTGGGAGACGGCGGGGGGGGCGATATGGTGATGGTGGGGGGCGTTGTACGGCGAGAGCAAACTGTACAGGGTCCTCTGCGTGCGGGGCGGGCGGGGATGGGGCGTCTTCCCAACTACCCCCCCCAAACCCGCATTTTTTGGGGGGTGGTGGGGGGTGTCTCGCCCCCGGGAGCGGTGCCCAGCGCCCTGCGCTGCCCCGGGGCGGCGGGGATGGCTCAGCCCGTCCCGGGGGCCGCTTCGCTTCACTCCCCCCCCCCACAGACCGGGGGGAGCACCCCGGGGGCTGGGGGTGGCCGGGTCCTCACGGGGTGCTGCTGCCGCCGCCGCCTTTGATTTTGGCGACGACTTTTTTCTCTTTGACGCGCCTGTTTTGGAACCAGATGGTGATCTGCCGCTCCGTGAGGTTGGTGGCGGCCGAGATCTTCCTCCTCTTGTCGCGGGTGATGAACTTGCTGCTGGCGTACTCCTTCTCCAGCTCCTTCAGCTGCCCCTTGCTGTACGGGACCCTCTTCTTGCGGCCCCGGCGGAAGGAGCCTCTCGTTCCCGGCCCTGCACGGTGGGGGGGGCATCCGCACCCCTTCCCCCCTCCTAAAGCAGCCGGATTCACAGGGATGGGATCTGAACCCGGACAGTATCGCCGCCGAACCCCCATAGTGTGACCACCGACCCCGATAGTGTCACTACCAAACCCCGATAGTGACGCCGTCGAACCCCGATAGTGTCTTTTGTTTTCTGGGGGGGAGAAACCCAGGTATTGGCAAAACACCGACCTGGGTGAGACCCGCGTTAATCCCCGCGTACTCGCTCCGCGCTTTCAGCGCGGTGGTTGCGCGGCCGAGCAGGGTCGGGGGTGATTTCGATCCCTCCGGTGCCGGGGG